TAGCTAAGTCTTCTGGAACAGGGAATAGACGGTTGAAGGAATGGTGGGACTCAATTCCAATCGTCCCTATTCGTGTAGTAGACAATGTTCCTGACACTAATAAAGAGGAAAGTATGGTGCTATGAACCTTCCCCCATCCACAAGATGGTGCTAAATAGTTCTTAATTCACTCTTTGCCCCACAATAGACTCTGTGTAAAAAGCAGTAGATGCCTTGCTTGGGAATAAAGGGAACTAATCAGTGTACATGACAATAGAAGACACTGAAGATACATGTATAAAACTCATCTACACAGTTGAGCCTTTTGGTTGTTTCATTGCATTTCTTGCTTCTCCTGTTTCAATAAACTCTATAGTATATGAGAATGATAAAAGTATTACTATGGTTAGAGCTAGTTAAGAGTTTGATTAGTTAGAATTTAGTTAGTGTAATTAGAGATTTGGTCCAGTTTTGCACCTCTCCAACTGTACAAAACCAAAGTTCTATGCGTCAACTCCTTGAAGATACACAGTAAACATAACAGTGGGTTTTTCCTATTTTCCTTGTGGCATTTCGTTTTACAAGACTTGAACTATTTTTTTATTTATTAATTTAGTAAATAACTAATGTTACGTGGAATAAAACATCTTGTTTACTAACAACAAGGGATTGTGTATTAATAATTTAGAAAAAAGGGATTTGTTATGTCAACCTCAATAAATATGGACAAATTATTAAATTTTGAACGAGATGCCATACATGCACAAAACACTTACTGTTTGGTACGATTTATTTTTTAGAATTCTCGTGAAACTGAGAGTGGTAATCATATTTATTCACATTTGGTACAAATTTTTTAAAATTTTATCGAAAATCTGATTTTCTCGAAATTTTATTTTGTGTGTAAATTTTTTTGAAAATACCATCTTTGAATACTATCCAGAGGGTGGGTGGTATTTTAAGATTTCTATGGCAAGAAAATTTTTAATACAATTAAACATAACATTAAGAAAATTAACCTAATATTTCTGAAAATATTTTAGTCTACCAAATACCTTTTTTGATAATATTACCAGAGAACTCATCTTCCCATCATATTCCTAAAAATGATGATTTCCGAATAAAAAAATCCCTTACTGTTAAATATCAAATTAAATGACTTGACTTAAATTTCATTTCAATTTAGTACATTCTTTTATAATAGTCATACTCAAGGTTGGTTACTTGCTGCGGAGATAAATTTTCGTTACAAATGAATTTTACTTGGTGAAAAATTAGTCTCACACTCACAGTTATATTATATGTATAAAAATTCTTGGTTAAAGATTAATTTTTGTTTTTTTTGGGTAAGTGAATAATAATATTTTGTCAAAATATATTGTATTCTGTTCCGGGTTAGTATACTCGGATACGGGTTGGAAGAACCCAGGATAATTGTGCCCGGGTTATGAGTCAGTTCTTTCACTTATTAGTCCATGAGGTGGGACTTACCTTTCATCCACGTTCAAGATAACCACCTTCTATCCACGTCTAATGTAACTACTCCAACTAGTAGTATATATAGGGGTGGATACTTCAAGAAGATATTCAGGATCAGAACAAATCCATATTATGTTCATCCAGAACATATCTTAAAATAAAAATTTGACAGGTGTGTTCCTGAGAGTGGTGCTTCCTTCCCCACTTGTCGGCAAGTTTATATCCATCCACGCGTCATGAAAGCGAATTAAACACTAAAGAAGTATTCTTTAAAGAAAGCTGTTATGCTGTGTGCAGAGGAAAATAAAAATAAGCTTAAGTTATTAAATGTTATCTACCAAAAAGAAGTTATTAAATGTTTATTAGTTTAAAAAAAAAAAGTATTTATGATATATTAATTTAATAATGAATACTCATAAGTCTATTACAGAAATTAGGAAAATTTGTTAACAATTGTTTTTAAGTTATTAATTATGAAAATCAAAGTTAAAAATTAAAAGCAAGAGTAAATCATATAATATAATATAATGATAAAAATTATATAATTCGTTTTTAATAATTAAAATTATTTTTTATCCCAAAAAAATCAAGAAGTGTTTAACAAAATGTATTAAATACTTCTTCACAAATATCTTCTAAATATAAAACAAAAAGTCAAATAATAAAATTTTAGGCAATCAGTAAGTATTTCACACATGGTATGAATATTTTTAAATTTAGTTAAATTTTTAAATTTATAAGGAAATAAAATTAATTAATAATAAGTTTCTATAAATTTTTAAAAATATGTATTAAAATTTTAAAATTCTCAAAAGTATAATAATTTTTGAAAAAATAAGTTAAAAATGGCATGCATTATTTTAAAAAACAAGTTGAGAATTTAAGAAAATTAAAATATTATTCAAATTTAATGTATACGAATAATTTTCTTATAATTAATTTAGTGATAATACTTAATTTTTTTAAATTTTATAAAAAATTAATATGTAAAAAAATTAAATTTAAAAATGCATAAAAATCATGGAATTCTAAAGAAAAACCAAGTAGGGAAAAGTGTGTATCATTTTAAAAGATATAAAATTATGTCATTTTAAGTAAGAGAAAAAAATAAATAAAAGAGGAAAGAGAGTTGACAAAAAAAAATATAAAGGTGTGTGTTCCATCTTTTTGTGAGAGTGAAATGACACAAGTTATATCATTTAAAATGACAAACATTTTTTCTAATCAAGTAATACATAAAAAAAATGATATTATGTTTGAAAGTAAATAATTTCAGAGTATTATAAAAATGTTAAAGAAAATATGCTACTTTATTATATATGAGAAAATATAATATAAGATTAATTTAATTTAAGCAAAATTTATTTTATTATATACGGATGAATAAAAAATTATTCATTCATTTTGTTTTGGCTAGATGAGTGGATAATGATTTCCAGATCTAGAATATGTGACCATTACATCTTTTTTTGATAAATTAAAATTATTTGAAAACTCACTCTGTCGGCAACAAAATTAAAAAATCTTGAATGCACTTTTCTACTCGATTTTGCGGAAAGTCGGTCATATTTTTCATGGAAATGTATCTTAAAAAAAATATGATATGGTCATGTGAAAATATCGTAATCATGTAAAGATAAATCAAAAGTTATGATTTTATAATTATCTATTTTAATATATTTTTTCTCTTCTTTTATTATCATTGATCCACTTTTGTATAGTTATGACTTCTCATATATAATATGATCATATAAATTTTCGCGAATCTAAATTTTTTTTCATAGCCTTTAATGGGCCCCTTCTTATCCTCCCTCAGATTCGTCGTTTATGGCCCATAATGGTCGGTGGGTCACCCTCACCCGCATTCCCCGCCACGCTCTTTGATTCATCTTACTTTTGAAAATATTTTGAGAAAAAATATCACAATTTTTTTTTTATGAAAATAAGATTGTCTTTTCTATTTTGTGCTTCACATTTTATTTTTATTTTTAAATTAGAGGGACTAGAAACAAATGAGAGGAAACGTATTTTGACAAAATTATGCCTATACCTTCCCATTTAGTTATCCTTTTCTCTTTAGTTGGTTGAAAGTTTTTACTCTCTTTTTTTTTTCTTTTTTGAAATGAGGAAAAGAAGTATGAAATGCAAATGGACTACATCCCAAATTTGAATCTAGAATACTGGATTATTATCTTTAGAAAACAATGCAAGCCTTGTCTTATTAAATGGACCTAACATTTTGGACAGATATTTTGCATAATAACCTTACCATATCCAACTTTGAAGATTTTCTCTTTATCCTTGATTCCTTGCAATTCATAAGCATCATCAAATATCTCCTTTTTTTAGTAGGTTCTGTTCCTCATTATACAAAACAGCTACAATTGGGTTCCAGATGTCCAAACTTTAACAACTGAATTTGTCTGAACCTTGATCACTTGACACCTGTTTGTTTTTAAGCCTAAAGCTTCTTCTAGGTCATTGTCTAATTGACTGTTTTAAAATTTTAATCGGGAATCGATCAACCTTCCATTTCCATAGAAATCATTTACAAATAAAAATAGGAAAAATTGTATATCATTTTAAAGAACATAAAATTGTGTTATCTTAAGTGAGAGAAAGAGATAAATTATGAGAGAGAGTAGGAGAATTTTTTTAAAAAATATAGATCTCACCTCTTTGTGAGAGTAAAAGAAGGTAAGATGTGTCATTTAAAATATGACACACCTTTTTTCCATAAAAATATAGCATTTCTGTTGCCAACTCGGTTGAAAGGTTCGTTTTTTTTTTTTATAATTATTTTAGATAATTTTATCTAATGTTCGTCTAAACGATGTCATTTTAGGACGAAAATCATGGTATGTTTGTAATTTTAATTTATTTTAGGATTATAATAGTTTTTATCATTCTGATTTTTTAATTTTTCAATCCAAAATGATACCGACATTAAATAAAATTATCTAAAATAACATCGAATATGATTTTTCCAAATTGAAAGCCACAAAATAAGATGTATTGTTTTTTGAGTAAAATCTCTTTTCAGTCTCTAACAAAAAAAACATGATCATCATTTTAGTCTTTTACAAAAAAAAATTAATCACCTAGTTCTTATGAAATTCAAAGTAGATCCATTTTAGTCCTTTTGAGGAATTAATGTGGGTCTTTTTTGAATTTGTGAGGGATCACGATTTCATAAAGATCTCGAGACTAATTCTTTTCTATAAGGGACTAAAGTGGGATCATATTTTTTTGTCAGAGATTCAAAAGGGACTTTACTCTTATTTTATTGTAATGCATAAATATTTTACAAAAACTTCGATAATAAAAAATTAATAGATAATAAATTTTTTGTTGTATTATATTTTAATAATTATTACAAATAAGTTTTAATTTAAAAATTTTAAAAAAATAAGCCGATGGCTATTTTGCATCAGTGATAATTCCCGCAATTTCCTCAAAAATGGTGGATAATATTTTCTAATAAATCAATAATGTTTCCATTTTTTTTCTTCACTTCTCTGCCTATAAATACCATTGATTCCTTCACAATCAGATAAAAAAAACAAAACAAAAGAGAAGCTCATTGAAAAGAGAGAAAAATCAAAGACAATGTCAGGGATCATGCACAAGATTGAGGAGACTCTCCATATGGGAGGGCACAAGAAAGAGGAGGAGCACAAGGGGGAGAGCCATGGTGAGTACAAAGGAGAGCACCATGGTGAACACAAAGGGGAGGGGCATCATGGTTATGGAGAGCACAAACCAGAGCACCATGGTGAAGAGCATAAGGAAGGCTTTGTGGACAAGATCAAGGACAAGATCCATGGTGACCATGACAATGACAAGGTAGATGGAGAGAACAAGAAGAAGAAGAAGGACAAGAAGAAACATGAACATGGCCATGATCATGGCCATGACAGCAGCAGCAGTGACAGTGATTAGATCTTCCCCCGTTGCATCTTCTATGTCAAGGTAAACTTTTGTTTTTCTTTGTTCTTTTATGCTCTCTCAATATTTTACATCATTATTCTTTGAACGTGGATGATGAATTCTGAAATTATATTTTTCTTCTAACAACCTGGGTGTTGGGATTTTTTTTTTATACCAATCATAATTATTTATTTGAGGCTGAGTAATTTTCTTGAAATTTTTCAATAGGTTTGATTTTTTGAGCTAATTATGAGATTAATTAATTACAAATATAACCGGTTAAAAATTAAGATTTTATGCCATGATATTAATGGAGATCAAACCTTCCTTCCCCATCAGTTTCCTTGCACCTTGCACAAATTGAGTTACTATAATTGAGTATGGAGATCTCATTTTTAGCCTATAGAGTAGTAGGTTTTTTTTTTTCTTTTCCCGATGACATTTTTAATAATTCTTTTTTTTTTTCTGGTCACGTAAAATTTTATAACTGTGAGATTATTCGTCAAATTTGATTTTCTGTGTAGGTATATTGGGGAATATTAACAACATCTGATCATGCTTTTGGATAAAAATTACTTGCATTTTGTTATAATCTCCTCCTTCATCTATCTCTGTATTTTAAAATAATGGGTGGTATATTACTTACTTGTTATTTTTTTTTTCTGCCTATCATTGCAGGTGTATGGGACCATAGAGTGAGGGCTATGTCTTTCCTTTTTCTTCTAATGTTCTATTAGTTATGAGTGGGGAAAAAAAAACAACAACGAGAAATTATGCTTGTTTTTAGTTGCTAATTCGAGTGCTTATAATATGCGGTTAGGTTGGTTTTTAAAACTCCACTGCTTTGGTTGTGTTTGGTTTTATATTAACCTAATAAATAAGATTTCTATTATTAGTATTATCTTGTTGATAAGTTATTATTATGACACTGCTTATTTCAACACCACAATTGGTCAATCGCTTAAAACAAAATGTTTATCTTCCGAGAAAACTTTTAGACTACGATGCATTGAAATTCAGCATAACACTAGTTAATTTATACTAGGATACGTATGCCGATAAGATTTTTCCTTATCTTCCGTCTTGAATATATAGCATGACGAATCTCGTTGATATATATGTTTTTCATATTTGATCTGACACTACTATAATGTTAGTATTTAGTTTTCATCTATCTATTAATCCAATTTTTTTTTTTCATCTATCTTAATATTGTAAGTATTCTTCAATTCACACTATCATTTTGTCATATTATTGTAAAAAAGAAGAAGAATATTACAATAATACTGTAAGCATCAAGTTCAGGTGGCGTTGAATCATGGATTTCCAAACTCCAATATATTGAAAATTGAAACAATCAGCTAACTAAAGGCGATTAGAATTTACAAGGAATTGTATACTTTCACATGAAAAAGTGATTATGTTATTTTGATCAACCACTCATTGATAATAAGATAATAGAAAGAAAATATACAATTTTTAAATGAGTAGTTGTTATTAAATAACATTATTGGGGTTTAATTTTCTCATATTAAATGAGAATTCAATTCTCATGTTGTAGAGATAAAAAACATGTGGGACCCATGTGTTAGAAAAAATTATATGTAGGATCTATATCAGCACAGAAATCGAAGGGTGTGTAGGAAAATTTGAATTTTCATGTTAAATGAAAATTATAAAACCCAACATTATTATATGAAAACTTTTTTCATATGAGATGATCTAAATCCAATTTATTATTATCCCTTCACAAACTTTGTGTCCGTCCATTAATGTTGATGAATATATCGGTTTGTTTGGATGAACTTGTAAAAAAATAATTTTTTATGTTACGCTTATTTTAAAAGTATTTTTTACAAAAGTTAAAAGCTAAAATTTTTAGCTTAAAAAAAAAATAAGTTTTTTTTAAAGCAATTATTCAAACGGACTTTGTAGTGAATTTTTTTTTTTCCTAAAGAAAAACAGGTTTTGGAGAAGAAGAAAATAAGTCCATCCAAATGGCCCAATATTACATCCAGTCGACTCCCCAAACTGTATTCATAGAAATTAGAATACCCAAGAAAAATGATATGTTTCTATTTTAAGTAACTACGCAATACGCAATGAAAATTAGTTAGTAGTATACGCATATTTTAAATTTAAATGTATAAATTAAAACAAAATTAAAATCATAAAAATATATACATAATTAATTTGAAGAGGTTATATTTACAAAATGTTTATTTACAAACTCTTACAAATTATACTATATATTCTCGGAAATACACTAGGTTACACAATGTACTTCCGAGAGTACATAGTGTAATTTATAAAAAGTTGTAAAGAAATTTTGTAAACGAATCATTCCCCAATTAATTTAGCTAAAAAAATACTTTCGGGCAAGTCATGTATGCAAAACTCTATTTCACGGCATCACGTGAAATAATGCATTCTATTAATGGGGGCGTTTGGTTTAAGAGAAATTTGTTTTTACCAGGAAAACAAATTTAGTAGAAATATGACGGGAAAATGATTTTAGTAGGAAAGTTTAAAAAAAATTGTTTGGTATGTCAAAATATTACCAGGGAAATTGGGTTAAATTTTCTGAGTGTATATTTGGTTGAAGGTAAAATATTGATGGAAATATTGGTTAAAAATATTAAAATAACCCTTTATCATACTTTATGAAAACCGGTTAACAATACTAAAAATTTTCTGACTGTGTCTTTTCTATGTTTTCAATGGAGTGTGTCTTGCCATTTAGCCAGCTAAGTACAAAATACTATCTTAGAAATAGTCTTCTAAACATTGCTTTCTATCTCATTTGCTTCTCATTTTTTCAAAAGTCAGGCAAATTAAATATATTAGCTGGAAAAATTGTTCAATATTCTGAACCAAACATGGTCCTCCCAAAATACCAAAGTCAAATACATAGAATTTTTTTTCAATAACCTGAATCAAACACCCTGTAAAGAATAAAATAAAATTTCCATGATTGTCATGTGATAATATTTGAGGAAGATGTTAATTTGCAGAGAATTTTATAAGATGCCACATGGACTAGCATCTTCCTCTATGCTGCCACGTGGCATTCATCCATTCTCATTGATCCCTTTTACATATTACAAGGTCCTCTTTTTTCTCCTTGTGAGCACAAATCTTAATATTTTGTGGTTGAACCTAACTATGAGATTAGGCATAACATTTTGGTATATCCTCCTAAATAAATTGATCTCGTAACTTTTACAAACAGACATAAATTATTAGGTTAGACTAGATTTAGACTTAAATAGGTCAAGCTTGTATAAAAATCCTTAGGATTAGCCTGGTCTTTTAGCCTGTGTATGCCCAAATTACAAGTCTGGCTTGACCTGTAGTTAAAAAATAAAAGTCTTGGCCAAGGCCTGTTAGCCTGTTTAAGCCTATTAAACATTCAATAATTAAAAAATAACTAAAATAATATTACTTTATTATTCAAAATTATTAAAATAATAATTTTATTTATTTTATTTAACTTAAATAATATGATATAGGCTGGCCTGTAGGCTTATTGGCCCGACATGTACAAAAAAACTTACGGCCTGTTTTCTAAATAGGTATTTTTAAAAGCCTCGGCATGTTCTATTTCACTATTTATAGTTGGCCAAGTTTGGCCTAATGTAGGCTAGGTCATAGGTCCTTGTAGACCGGCCTAGCCCATTTACATCTCTACTCCCATTGCTGCAGAGTTTTGTCTTCTTCCACTTAGACAAAGATATAATAGACCCACCATATTATTTTTTAATTTTTTTTAAAAATATGGCTAAATGTATGTACCGTATAAGGAAAATATTTTTACAATAACAGTAAAAATGTTTTTTCCATCATTAAAATGCATTATTATTATTGAATATATATATATATATATGTAAAATTATTTTTGTAGCCGCTTTACATACAGCAACGACATGTGTATGGTTATGATTTCTCGTATTTAATGCTTTCATCTTTTGTATGGTTATGATTTCTCGTATTTAATGCTTTCAAGTATATATATATATGACAAATATTTGATTGCTGCATGTATAGCAACTTCAAAAATGTAAACTCATATATATATATATATATATATATATATAGAGGCAGGATCATCTTACACCAGTGTAAGATTTTTAATCTTACACCACATCTAAACCGTCCAATGTACTTTAATCCAACGGCCACGACTAAAAAATAAAAGCAGGCACGTGACATCCTTTTTTATCCTAAATTCTTTCTCGTTGCATTCTCCCAAAACACATCCACCATCACAACCCCGCAGCTCTTCCACCTCGTCAGAATCTGCATCGGCCTCTTCCACCTAAATGACTAGATCATTAAAGCCTTTTCACCAAACACCTTAATTTCATCTCTTTCCACATACACCCTGCTTCCTATGGTTTCATAGCTTCACCTTCATTCACTCGTTTGCCACGTCCTACTACATATCCTAGGTTGTGTTTCTCTCACTTTCGACCATACTCATGTGAGTTTCTCTTCTTCCCTCATTTTTTTATTGCTGACAATGAAAGTATGGTTTTGTTGATTAAATTTTATTTTATTTTATTTTTGGGGTTTTGTCATAGGGTTAGTGATTTTTATTTCAATAGGGTTATTGACTTATTGGGGTGATGAAAAATTCTATCTTGAGATTGATTTTGATAGAATATATTATTGGGGTGTCTCACTACCGCATGCACAAGTAATGAGTATTGATTTCTCTTACTGACAGATGAAAAATTGTATCTTTATGTTGAGTTTGATTGGAATGTATTATAGGGGTGAAGTAATTTTATTTGAAACTGTTCTTTGCGCAACTCTGTTCCCCTGTAACTATTAGCTGACGTCACGCATTACCACAATTTGGAAATTGTTTTTTTTTTTTTTTTATAATTAAGGATAGAGATTATTATAATGTTTCATATTTTAGTGATAAACAGTTTGTTTCATTATATATCTCTGAATTGCTGATTAAGTTGTAATTTTGCTATCGTGCAAACCTGAGTTTTCTGGACTAACTATTTGTACCTGTAATAATTTATTTCTAAATGTTGTATTTGTCTCAATCACCGTGATCTTGGTACTGAGAAATATCAGTTTATTGACCAATTACTTAAGAAAAATACAAAATAGATATTGTGGTTGTTCAGTTTACATAATGTAGACATTGTTTAAAATATAATTAATCCATTTACGAGGTTGATTGACTGTTTCTTCCTTTTGTACAGCATCTCGATCTGCTACATTTATGGAAATGTTCAAAGCAATTGCTCAGCAAGAACTTGCAGCTCATGGCAGTACTGCTATGGAATTTGTGACTTTTGTACTGCTCAGAAGAGTTACAGTTACAAGAAACTCATCTCATCTGCACAGGCAGACTTATGATGTCCTTAACATATCTAAGTGCAATGGAATTCATTGAAGAAATTGCAACGAGTCCTTTGTATACAACATTCGACACACAAAATATAGATAACTATTGGAGGATGTTATTATTATCAAATCTGGTCAATGTTTATCTTAGTTGGTACTTTAAGTTGTTGTTGTTATGATAGGATGTTATTTTGTAATATCCACGTCCTTTGTACAGTGACAAATGATGAATAATAAAACCATTTTTAATATCTCTAAAAGGGAACTTGTGACTTGCTATGCTGAATCACCTTTATCTGAGGTAATTGACAAGGCAAAAAACTAGTAAGATAAAAAAAAATTAAGGAGATCAAGATCAATCTAAAATGAATATTCTAAGAATATGTACAGGCAGAGCGTGATGACTCACTTTGCACTTACAAAACTGTGACAATATTGTTGCAAATAAAAATTGCATGAAAATATCATACAAATTGTGTATAATGACAAAACTGTGTATAATATCACTAAAATGAGCTCCTCGAGGGAAAAATAAGATATCCTCCTCCGCCTATTACAAATAAAAATTGCATGAAATGGTTGTTTACACTTTATACATAAATTAGAAAACATAAATTGGTTGTCATATAAATTGCATGAAATGGATATCATACAAATTGCATGAAATGGTTGCTCACACTTTATACATAAATTAGAAAACATAAAATCAAAAATGAATCAGCTCCTTGTACTAACAACCTTGAAACTAGATGGGAGAGCCCCATTCCTAAAACGTAGTGTCCTTCTTGCAGCAGCAATCACCTTGTTACAGTCTTTCTCAGCCAAGAAACTAGCTAGGATAGTCTGTGAGCCATAAAATATTAAAGGAAATTAATAACAACACAAATATATAGTCTAGTATAGCAGCAATGTCTTGTTCATCGATAATTCAAGACTTACATGCTCTCTTTTTAACCAATGTCTTGTTCATCGATAATTCAAGACCACTCTTAAACCTCCCTGTCAGAGGGACTTTGTCAGAATCCTTTCTTCTTCTTCCTTTTGTATGTGAAACATATGGGTCTTTAATATTGAAATCTGAAACATCATTTGTTGTGTCACATGTCAAATTCTGTTGATTTAACTCTATAGGATCTTCATTGACATCTAGAATTTCCATTCCCATTGTATTGGCCATATTGTAAATGCGATCAAGTTCTGATATAATAAACTTGTATGCATCTTCAGATCTTTTAGCCAAATCAGAAAACTTGTCAAATTGACGTTGCACATGCATACTTCTCAAAACATTTGATTCATGATTCCAATTTTCAATGTCACACGACTCTATACATTTGTTGGCCTCTTTTGTCCAACGCTGCAATATGTACTGACTAGGAATTTGAATAATGTTTTTTGCTTGAAAAATCACCAAAATGTGCCTACATAGTATTCCCATAAATTCAAAAAGATGACAGCCACATGTAGCATTCTTTGATTCCAAATTTATATCAACTATAGAACAATCTCGAGTATCAAAACAATTAGATACCCGATACTTACAATGTGAATCGTTTTTCTCAATCTTCTCCTTTGTAAAATGGCTAACACTTGCAAGCTCATTATAAAACTTAACAAACACATTTCTTGTATAAATTGAGGCAGCATGTTCTTCAATTTTTGAGCCAATAGTCAAAGTGCGTGACTTATGTCGTGACTCAAAATCTTCTCTTTTTACAGCCTCATATCGATTGTTAATGGCCTTCTCAAATTTTACCACAAAGTCTTGTAGTGTTGTGGTTGAATTAACAAAGGAGTCAAAAAAAGAATTAATGCTCTCACTCCGTTGTGTAGTATTCATACCGGCAAAAAAAGTGTTCCTATTATAAACTGGTATCCATGACTCTCTAATATCAAATAACCTTTGAAGCCAACCATTTTCCTGCAAGTTATACTCAACCATTATGCGCTTCCAATCATCTTCAAAATCCTTGATAGTTGATGATTCTCGAATGCACCTCTTCAGTTCACGCTTGAATGTAGAATTTTTGTGATATATATGTGCAAGCTTTTCAGGAAACTTCTTTCTGATGTGCCACAAGCATAGACGATGACGTGTCTCTGGAAATACCTTGGCAACAGCTGCTCCAATAGCTAAATCTTGATCAGTTATCATAGAAATAGGCTTCTTTCCATTCATTGCCTCAAGCCAAGTTTCAAATAACCATACAAAAGTTTTTCAGATTCATCTTGTAATAATGCACAACCGAATAAAATTGATTGAAGATGATGGTTCAATCCCGTGAATGGGGCAAATGGCATGCTATATTTGTTGGTTCTATATGTTGTATCAAAAGTAATAACATCTCCAAATTGTTGATAAGCAAACCTTGATCTAGAATCCACCCAAAAAAAGTTTATCATTCTGTCATCATCATCACATTGTATTGCATAGAAAAAGTTAGAGTTTTGAGCTTGCTTTTGTTTACAGTAATTGAAAACAGCTTGTGCATCTCCAACATCCAAGTTCTTTCTCCTAAGATTTCTCAAATGGTTCCAACAATCCCTATTAGAAAAAGCTAAATCACTACCACTAAACATTGCAGCAACCTTTCCAGTCGGTAAGCCTTCTTCATTGAACTTTTCAACAAGATTTTTTGCAGCACCGTTCATTTTTTTATGACACCTCAAATAAGACACACTCTTAGGACTGGCCATGACATGATTATGGTTGTTGTCAAAAGATTTTATAACCCATACCTCTCTATTCTTATCCTTTGATACACAAAGTGATGCTCGACATCCTGAGCGTATGGTTGAAGTTTTTTTCTTAACTTCTACTATATTATCACTTTTCACCTTATTTTCACCTTCTCTCACACATACAAATATGCAATTTTTTTTTTACTAGAGCGGGTACGAATCCCAAATCCTTTTGCTTTGGCAAATAATGTATAAAAATGTTCAACTTTTTTCAATGAATCAAATTCCATTCCAACATAAGGCTCAACAATGACTTCTTCAGCACTAAAAGATTGTGGCATATCAAGAGAGTTAGAATCTATCACCAAGTTGTTGTCCAAAATGACATTTGTCTCCATGTTCGTGAGAGAAAAATCAATTGGGTCTATATCCATCATTTGCTAACCTGAAAACAAAAATAGATGAAATAAGCACCACAAATCAAAGAAAGCACAATGAGGAAACTACAAAGGAGAAACTTATTCTTATAACCCAGCCAACAAAGCAAAGTAATCATAAAATGTAGAGGAACGAGCAAAAAGTGGTTTCAAGAAAAAACTTTAATCATTTTGCTCCTGCTGCAGCATAACAATAAAAGTAAAGCAAAGACAATTCTCAGCAGGGCCAAGTCTAGGTCCAATACAAGGTTATTTTTATAAACCTTACCATACCACAAAGGATGCAATTCTTAATTGAGCATGGGAAACACAGTGCCCAAAATAATCTTTGTATCTCGGTGAAAATCTGTAACTAACCACCAAATAACAAATTGTGGACTGTAAGCAGAGGGAACTACCAAACGTAGTGCAGGAGTAATAATAACTTGTGAAACATACATATTCTAAGGAGATAGGAAAAGAGCGAATATGATTTCCCCTTTTCTCTTGCAAAAGCCATAAACAAAACAAACATCTCACATGCAATTTAGTCATCTAAGCTGCCAAAAACATTCCGTTGACCCGAGACTCGCAAAAAAAAAACAATAAATAGAGACATATACAGATTTTCAGAAGACAAGAATACAGAGGTACATGAAGTTGAATGAACAAACAAACATGTTTGGGTTTTGGGTAAGTCCTGAGGGAATTTCAAGTTCCCATTAAACCCAGCAGAGCCACCCAAACAAATTATAATGAGAGGGAGGCAGGGAGCTTACGGTTACAAAACTCAAAGCCTTAATTTGATCTTGCGAGTGAAGAGGGGGAAGTACATAAGATTATTAGAAGAAAAAAGATAGCTTTTTTGAATGCAGGGAAGAGAAGAATAATGGGAAAGGAAAGAAATAGGAATAGGAATAGGAAAAAGTGGGTATGTTTCGTTGAGAAGTCGTAGCGTCAACGAGAAAAAGAAAAAAATCACCAGAAATGAAGAAGTTCAGGAAACAAGAACGAGGGAAATGGAGTCACGTGCCTGCTTTTATTTTTTAGTCGTGGCCGTTGGATTAAAGTACATTGGACGGTTTAGATGGGGTGTAAGATTAAAAATCTTACACTGGTGTAAGATGATCCTACCTCATATATATATATATATATATATATATATATAATGAACAACCTATGAATTGATTAATGAACAGAAGTATCATCCATTAATTTTCATTTTTGAAAAGATCATTTTCTCATAAAAATGGAAGAAAGAGCAGAAGAAGTCAAGGAAACTAACACGGGAGTAGAAACTAGATATTGGGAAAGTGGGGGACTTCTACAGGTCATGTAAGCAAAATGCTAGTCCATGTGTCGTTTTGTAAAAAGTCATGTGGACTGTTGTCTTCCTCAGACGCCGCACATGGGACTATCCTCAATAAGTTAGCTAAAATCTTAAAATTACATATTAATAAAAAATTTAAATTTCTAATTTTTTTTTTTTTGCATGATTGATTCAAATTAATTTGCATTTGAAATTTAAAAGAAGATAAATTTAGAGTAACATGTATCATTCTTTAAGACAGAATTAACAAAATAAAATAAAATAAATCACTCTCAAAATTAGGGGTGTCAAAACGGGTTGACACGACACGAATTCGACACGACACAATTACATCAACACTAACACGTATTAGATATATATAGCTGTAGCTTCTTTAAATGTACCTGCATGTATCAGATACTTTCCTATACAGTTTGTTACTAATCTGTTACAGATCTGTTAGGTGTTAGCTGTCAATTAGTTAGATCATCACTCTATATATATATTGATAGAGTGCACACTGTACATTCAGATTACATAATACAATTCATACATTCTCTCTTTTCTCTCTCTCTTTCTCTCGTCTATGGATTCTCTCAAGAACTCAAACATGGTATCAGAGCTCTTTTTCTGAGGGCCTGATCCATCTTTGTGCTCCACTATGTCTTCCACATCGAACAACAACAACGCTTCAACAGAAAACAGCGTTCCAACATCTTCCAGGTCACAAATGGAGAATCGTTCACCACTTCTATTCAATCATCAAATCACTGTGAAGCTAACTGAAAACAACTATCTGTTCTGGAATCAAATAGTCGAACCTATTATCACTTCACACCAACTTCATCGTCACTTGGTGAATCCAAAGATTCCAGTGCAGTTTGCTTCTGATGAAGATCGCGAGAACAAGATCCAGAATCCAGAGTATGTGCAATGGATTACACAAGATTTAATGTTACTGTCTTGGCTGCTGTCAACAATCTCAGAATCTGTTGTCAATGAGATTCTTGGAGTCAAATATGCTTACGAAGCTTGGGACAAGATACACAAGCTCTTTCATGGAGTGATGAAATCTAGATCTCGTCAACTACGCTCTGAACTAAGAACTATCAGAAAAGGTAACAGATCTGCTAAGGAATACTTGTCTCGAATCAAAAGCCTATGTGATTCATTGAAGACTATAGGAAATCCAGTCACAAATGAAGATAGAACAGATTACATACTGGAAGGTCTTCCAGTCGAGTACAATGCCTTTGTAACAACTGTTCATGGAAGAGAAAATCCTTACTCCGTTGAGGATCTTGGTATAGAGTTGATGACACATGAACAAATGCTGTTGAAACAGAGTGAATCTCTTCTTGACTCTGTCACTGTGAATGTGACTCAAAAAAAGAGCAACACTGCTGAAACAACTCCTCTGTTTGCCCCTGTTTTAGCGAATCAAGAACAGAGCACTGGTAAGGCTTCTGAACAGTTTGGTTTTGTTAATACTCTTCGTTCTAATGACTTCAATAGAGGACGATGACGATATATTGGAAGAAATAATAGAGGTAGAGGCCGTGGGAATAGAAAAAATGTTCATTGTCAGCTCTGTTACAAATATGGTCATGACGTGAGATCTTGCTGGCATCGTTTTGATGAAGACTTCACCCCACACTTCCACCTCCACAGAGTTCATCAACCGGTCAATTCTTTGCTCAAAATCAGACTCCACAAGTTCAGCAGCGAAGCTATCAGTATGTTCGATCTGATTATCAGTATGTTCGTCCAGTTAATTCTGTACCTCAAGCTATGATGACTGTACAACCAGGATTGCTTCCAACACCAGTCTCCTCTCCAGCTCTTGAGTGGTATCCAGACTCAGGTGCTTCTCATCATGTCACTGCAAACCCAATGAACTTGATTCAGAGTCAACAATTAAGTGGTTCTGATCAGGTCATCATTGGTAATGGCCAAGGTTTGAACATTAAAGCAATTGGATCTTCAAGCTTTCTGTCACCTTGTGATTCTCAGACATCTCTCTTCCTTTGAAATCTGCTTGCACTTTGACATCCACACCTTCTAGCTCAGACAACATAGTTTCTGGTGCTATTTCACAATGTAATCCTGCTCATAGTGTCAATAAAACTGTAAATCACACTGTTCAGTCTTGTAATAGTGATAGACAGTCATGTATGCCTTCTGATTCTGCATTTTTCTTATGGCATTGCCGTCTAGGGCATCCTAATCATGTAACCTTGACAAAGGTGCTTCACTCTTGTAATATTCCAGCTTCAAATAAAATTGTCAGTGAATTTTGTTCATCTTGTTGTCTTGGTAAGGCACATAGACTCCCCTCATATCCCTCTCTGTCTGAATATGATACCCCATTTGCTCTACTTTATTGTGATCTTTGGGGACCAGCTCCTTTTACTTCAACCATAGGATACACTTATTACCTGTCAATTGTTGACGCCCATACCAGATACACTTGGATTTATTTACTAAAACAAAAATCTGATGCTTTTCCTACATTTAAACAATTTCACTCTTTGATAACAACTCAATTTCAGCTACCTATTAAGGCTTTACAAACAGATTGGGGTGGGGAATTCAGATCCTTTTCTGATTATCTTAAACTCAATGGCATTATTCATAGAGTTGCATGCCCACAGACTCATCACCAAAATGGTGTTGTTGAACGTAAACATCGTCATATTGTTGAAACGGGACTGACATTACTGTCTCATGCTTCCTTACCACTGAAATTCTGGGATTATGCCTTTCTTTCAGTCGTGTACTTAATAAACAGATTGCCCACTGCTTCTTTACATTTTGATGTTCCTTACACAAAATTGTTTAATCAACAGCCCAACTATCAGTTTCTTAAAACCTTTGGGTGTGCATGTTTTCCATTTTTGAGACCTTACAATAGATACAAACTTGAGTTTCGTTCTCAAGAATGCTTGTTCCTTGGCTACTCCACAAATCACAAAGGTTATATTTGTTTAAGTAGAGAGGGCAGAGTCTATATCTCCAAGGATGTTTTATTCAATGAATATAAATTTCCTTATCATTCTTGGACTGACACCAGAATTAGTCCAACTCCTCCAATCCTTCCTGTTTCTGCTCACATTCTTCTTGTGTCTTCTCCTTCCTCTACTCCCACTACTCACACTTTGTCTCTTGTACAGTCTCAATCACCATTGAGCTCTCCTTTGCAGTCCACCTCTCAATCTGTTTCCTCTTCTTCTTCTTCTTTTCACAGCGCTCTTCCTACCCAAACAGTGCAGTCTTCTCCTGCTCCCTCTTCCACTTCTTCTTCTTCCTCAGTTTCTGAATATATTCCCCCAAACTCCTTACCAATAATTCCACCTACACACTCTATTCAGACCAGGTCTAAGACAGCAGCCAGATCCATTGCTCTCCTTGCTCATATTGAACCATCTACTGTGAAACAATCTCTAACCAGTCCCCCTTGGTTTGAGGCCATGAAAGCTGAGTACAATGCTTTAATGACTAACAATACATGGAATCTTGTGTCTCTGCCTCCAAACAGGAATTCAATTGGCTGCAAATGGGTATTTAAGGTTAAAGGAAATCCTGATGGTTCAGTGAATAAATACAAGGCTAGACTTGTGGCTAAGGGCTTTCATCAAAGAGAAGGTTTTGACTACAATGAAACCTTTTCACCTGTAGTAAGACCTGTCACCATTCGAATAATGCTTACTCTTGCTCTCACTCACTCCTAGTCAATTAGGCAGCTGGATATTAATATTGCTTTTCTCAATGGTGACTTACAAGAAGATGTCTACATGACACAGCCCCCTGGTTTTGAAAATTATGATAAGAGCTTAGTTTACAAGCTCAATAAGGCATTATATGGCCTTAAACAGGCTCCTAGAGCATGGTTTGACAAGCTCAAGGGTGCTTTAATTCAGTTTGGATTCCGGTCAAGCTGTTGTGACCATTCCTTGTTCATTTCCAAAACATCTTCTCACTGCACTTACATCCTTGTATATGTGGATGATATCATTGTGACTGGTACTAATGCCTCTTATATTCAGCAACTGATTCAACAACTTCATTCTCAGTTTGCACTAAAGGATCTTGGCAATCTTGATTACTTTCTTGGTGTTGAGGTGAAGCCTCATATTTCTGGTGGCTTGGTGCTGTCCCAGTCTAAATATCTACGTGATTTACTGACTCGGGCTGATATGTTTGATGCTAAAGGAATTTCTTCTCCCATGCCTTCTAACTGTAAGCTCTCAAGGTTTGGATCACACTATTTTTCAGATCCTCTTCTCTACAGGTCAATTGTGGGTGCTCTTCAGTATGCCACCATCACTCGCCCTGAAATTAGTTATGCTGTCAATAAGGTTTGCCAATTTATGGGACAACCTTTGGATGACCACTGGAAAATTGTGAAGAGAATTTTAAGATACTTAAAAGGGACTCTTACCTTCGGCCTTGTTCTTCAAAAGGCAAATCCCCAGCTTCCCTTTACTCTCACTGCTTACTGTGATGCAGATTGGGCAAGTGACCCTGATGACAGGCGCTCCACTTCAGGTGCAGCCCTCTTCTTGGGTCCTAATCTTGTCTCTTGGTGGTCCAAGAAGCAAACTCTTGTAGCAAGGTCCACAACTGAAGCTGAATATAGAAGTTTAGCACTTACTTGTGCTGAAATCTTGTGGATTAAGTCTCTTCTTTGTGAATTACAAGTCTCCTTTGATACTCCCCATGTCTTCTGTGATAACCTTAGCACAATGGCTCTCTCCCATAATCCTGTTATGCATGCCCGCACAAAGCACATGGAACTGGATATCTTTTTTGTTCGAGAGAAAGTGCTTGCACATGAGATTATTGTCCATCATATTCCTGCCTCAGATCAGTTGGCAGATACTTTGACAAAGCCTCTTCCTTCTGGACATTTTACAAATCTAAGAGCCAAACTTAGAGTTCTTGATTCAGTGACTCAAGATCCCTGAGTTTGCGGGGGTGTATTAGATATATATAGCTGTAGCTTCTTTAAATGTACCTGCATGTATCAGATACTTTCCTATAGAGTTTGTTACTGATCTGTTACAGATCTGTTAGGTGTTAGCTGTCAATTAGTTAGATCATCACTCTATATATATATTGATAGAGTGCACACTGTACATTCAGATTACACAATACAATTCATACATGCTCTCTCTTCTCTCTCTCTCTTTCTCTCGTCTATGGATTCTCTCAAGAACTCAAACAACACGACACAAATTTTTATTCGTGTCAAAATCTTCAACACTGATACGACACGAATTTTTTGCGGGTTCACACGACACAATACGAGTAACACGCAAAATAGGGGTCAAAATGGTAATTGACAAAAAAAAATTAAAAAAATGGATCAAAATTAAAAAAAAAATACGGGTCGACACGAATACATCAACACGAACACGACACGAATTTTTTTGCGGATCAATCCAAACACGAATTTTCGTGTCGTGTCGCGGGTTGACCCGCGTGTCAAAACCTATATTGACACCCCTCTCAAAAAAATATACTTTATTTAATATATAAAAGTGAAACAGTAGTGATTTGAAAAGAAAGAACAAATTCTAATGTAAAAAACAATAATTTTGAGAATGTAAGAATCTAAATTTTGAAGAGTGAGAAAATTTCAACTTAAAAGAAATTTTAAAAGTAATTAAGTATAAATATTCGAGATTTAAAAAGAAAGGAGAAATTTAAATGTAAAAAGAATTTTAAAAATACTTGAGATTTTTTTAAAACATTAAAAAATACTAAGTATTCACCAAAATAAAAATAAAAATAAAAATACTAAGTAACGGTAAAATCATGTGTATTACAAAAAAGTACATTAAGAGATTAGTTTCGTAACAATGGTTTAGATTAATATATTACTCTAACAAGATATAAAAACTTACCATTTTAAAGAGAAAATGAGTTAATTTTCCGAGTATATAACCCATACTAATAAGTTATCAGGTTTACCAAAAAAATAAAAAAAATTGAGTTATCACAATAAGGAGTCCTTTTCCACGTCACTGAACATTAAATTAACAAAGACATGATAAGTGATCACAGTGGAAACCTAACAAAAAAATTCTAATAATTTTTAGTAGCCAATTAAAAATGATCAAACTATAAGAAACTATGTATCCTAAAATATAAATATGTTATTAGAGGAAGGTTATCTTTATAAGCACTTTGTTCTTATATGGATCAAAATTAAATTAATAACTTTTATTTAATATCATTTTATAATGATTAATTTAATTTTATTCGAATGATAATAAAAATAATTATACAAAAAAAACATTATAATTATAACCTCTCCATGTTTATTTACTACTAGGATATAGTTTCGCTCAGTGTTTTAAAATCCCGCCCCACCCTCCGGATTGACCCGGGTCAACCCTGACCCCTTCCCTCTGAGGGTTGGAGTCACAAGTTGGACTCTATATGCATATCGACCCCTCCGACCCCCAAAATCCGACCGAGTTTCAGTGACTCCCGGGTCAGGGGGTCCTTGCCTGTTTTTTTTTTTAAAATTTTTTTTCCATGAAACAACATTGTTTTATTAAAAAAATAAATAAAAATGCTTGCAAACCTAAATCTAATTGTTCTCTTCTCTCCTAGTGACCTAAATATTTTCAATCTTCACCTCACTGTCGTGAATCTTCTATAAAAGGTAAGAATTTTACCCCTTCAAATGAAATCCTTACGGGTTTCGATGGAAAACAAACATTCATTCGTACTTCCTTTAAAATTTTCTTTGTCAGAGACCTCCTCAAAAGAGACAGAACTGAGTCAGTGTAGTGACCTCATTAGAATATGAGTTTTGTACTTTGGTATCTTGATTCTTTAATTACTTGTGGTTATAATTAATTAATTATGTTAAGTATATTTTGAATCTTTGATGATTTGTGATTTGTTTTTTAATATTTTCATATAGGATATACCTATTTATATTTTTTTAATATATAAAACCGGATCAGCGTAGTGACCCCCTGATCCTCCGGTTGAATCTGTGATTTCGTAATCCTGACCTCAGCCGGGTCGACGGCGGAGGAGTTTTTAAACACCGAACTTTCGCTGTCCTAATCTTGACCTTTTGCTGCCCACAAGAACCGCGGCTTTTACTTTGTTATCTCAGTCCTCAGGTAACCTGTTTTTTAACAAAAAGGAGCACCGCCCATTAAACTTTCGCTTTTGGTTAATCCTTTCTAGGATCATTATGAAGATTCCAACAAGGATCGCTTCATTGTTTGGACAAGTGAAAACTACGGCCTCCGCACGTTTTTTTCCTTCTCCACTTGCCTCTTGTGCTTTGTTTATTTTTATTAATACAATCCTATCCAAATATAATACAATCCTATCCAAATCTCTTATCATAATATCAAACCTTATGAGTGATGACTTTGTCCTTTGTTTATTTAATTAGTTTTGAAATAAATGTTCTTAAAATACATATAAAAAATTGAAAATATAATATATTATTAAGTAAAATTAAAATTTTTAAAATTTAAAATTTTCTTTTAATAAATAATATTCTTTAATAAAAAAATAAAAAAATTTATTGTTTTAAAAATACATGTCAAGAAAACATTTTTTAAAATAAAAAATGGGTGATTTTGAATTCTGAGCCCCAAAGAACCACTTCCATTAACTAAAGCCCCAAATGATGCTTTTATGAAGTTGGTGTTTTTTATTTTTTCAGTTTTGTCTTCTTTAATTAAAGACACAAAATTATGTACATAGGACAACAGAGACAGAGGAAATCAGCGGCGACAGTTACAGAACCACTGTTTTACCTCTCTGAATTTGAGTCACAAAAACAACATGCCCCAGCTACCAGAAACAACATGAATCTGTGACCCATTGACTCTACTCATATCTCGTTTGCTCCAATTCTCTATATAAGTTTAACATGTTTCTTTTAACCCACCAATTTCAGCTTCATCATAAGCCAAAAAGAAACAGAAGAAAAAACCAACATTTGCATAGAGGAATCTTGCTCTCTTGAACTTGAACTCGCATGGCTTCGCTTATACTTTTATTTTCAGAACTTGTTAGGAATCATGAGTGGGATGCTGCAGCTCTGTTAGCAACGTACCCTCCCTCTTCTTATTATTCTACAATAACGTCATCTTGTGCTGCAGCTAAAGCTACTGTGAGCAAACCATTGAAAGAAGAGGGTAACAATAACATGCTGAAGCAGAACAGCCAGAAAACTGAAGATGCTGTGATGGAGAATCCAATGGAGTCGAGGGTGTGTGTGGATTATTTTGTTTGGCCTTGAATCTTGTAACCGTATATGTGTAACTGTTCTTTAATTCTTTTTAGAGTTAATACTCTTTTTGATACTCAGTAAATTTTATGATCACTACTTTAGTTACTGACAAATAAAAAGATCCGTTGTGGTTTTTAAGAAATTCAAAATGGACCTATTTAGTTGAAATTGTGATCCCTCACAAATTTAGAAAAGACTCATATTAGTCCTTAGAAAGGACTAAAATACTATGAGTCTTTTTATTTGCTAGAAATTAAAGCGGACATCATAAAATTTGCTGATGTCAAAAAAAAGTATCTACTCTTCTTTTTATTTGAAAACTATGATGCCGTAAATTATTAGTCTTTGCACCTTTTCTTTGAATTTTTTTTAAAGTTTTTCAGTTTATTAAATGATGAAAATAAATAGCGAGTCTTTGTGCTGAATTCTAATGATAATTTTTATTGTCTTATGTATAGTTATAATAAAAATAGTATTTTAAATATTTCACAATAAAAAAGAGAGTTGTTTTAATTTTAATTTTCTATATAATATATTGTGATATGTTATTCTACCTACCATTTTTTTTACCTACTTTTGCCTACCACTCTCAAATACCGTTAGATCTGAATCTTTATTAACATTTATTTTGCTCTCTCCTCTTTAAATTCTGATCTAACGGTATTGGAGAGTGGTAAGCAAAGATAGACAGAAAAAATAGTAAGTAGAATAACCTATCCCTAATATAATATAGGTTAGAGTTTAATTCTAATTCATGTACCATCTCTCAATTATTTACGTGTGGAGAAATCATAAAAAAAGGATTTATTCATGTTATAGGTAATACCATCTGATATGGATAAAATATAGTAGGCCCATTAGAGGCCCAAAGACATATAACGAAGCCCAATCTCACGAGGGCCCAGAACTAAGCGCGATGGCCACCATCGCGCATGAAACCGCCCTTTGGCATAAACTTCAGAGGTAAGAAAGCCATCTTAAGAACCAATATGAACCCACCGCGCCTTTGTACTAATGAACAGAGGACAACACCAGCTCGTCACTACTCTATCAAGGTAGCCTGGCTGTAAGAGATAAGGCTATTAAGGCTCTAGCCAAACCTGCAGCCCAGAAGCGGTCAATTAGAGGCCATACTGCCTTCTGAAGGCGGCATCAGAACCACTATATAAACAAAGGGTACATGCCCAGGTATGATAATATAATTCATTAAGAATACACATACACCTGCAGCTGATACTGACTTAAGCATCGGAATGTCATTGCAGGTATCCCCCCATCCAGTCTCAACAATCGCGCCAGCAAAGGACCAGAATCCATATATTATCATCAACAACTTCTAGCCCAGGAAGCAGAGCATCCTCATCATTTCAACCGTGTGTGATTAGGCCCGATATACATTGGCCAGCCCATATTGTGTTTGGTTTGATTATTGGCGCCGTCTGTGGGGATCTATCATTTAGAACCCATTTCATTCACACTTAAAAACATGGTTGATACCAGAAGCAAATCCCAGAACGGCTCCAAAGGAAAGCAGAAGGAAACCCCTGTCTCCCGTGAGAAATCAGCCTCGTCGGTGGCACCACTTTCCGTGCATCATGATAACCCACCGACGATCCAATACTTACTGAACCTTATCACGCAGCAGAATTCTTTACGGAATCTGAATTCAGTCGAAAGTTTCACAGTAAAATTTCCCCCAAAATTTTTGACAAAGAGATTTTCGTCGAAATTTTCGTTGGGACACATTTTCATAAAAAAATTTTGACGGAATTCTTTTTTCCGTCAAAACTAACAAATCATTTTCGTCAAAACTTTTAATGGAATTTTTGTCGTTGAAAATTTTTAACAAATCATTTTCGTCAAAACTTTTGACGGAAACTAAATTCCGTCGTAAATATTGACAGAAAATTTATTTTTGTAAAAAATTTCATCGGATAAAACTTCCGTCACCTTTCGATAAAAAGTATTCCGTCAGAAAAATATTTTTGACGAAATTTTCATTGTTTGCAACGTCGAATTTTCGTCAAAAATATGATCTTTTTTAGTGGTGTGAAAAATACATAAATAATTTTGTTTAGAAATTTTAAATTTAATTTAATTTTTAAAATACAATAATTATATTGATTTTTAAAAAAAGGTAAAATTGTAAAAATATTTCATTGATCCTCCAATTTCACCTTTACCATTTTTTTAACTCTCAAACAAGGGAATCAATTACCTTCCCTTCCTTCCCCTTGGATTCTCTTCCTTTCCTTCCCCTCCAAACTCCCAAACAAAGTCAAGTCGATATATATATATATATATATATATATATATATATATATATATATATATATATATATATATATATATCGACTTGACTTTTTTTCCCGCATCCAATGTATTTTGTTCTTTTTTTATTCCTTTATATGTTTGTTTTTGTTAATTTTTTTTTGTTTGCCTTTGATATTTGATTAGATGTTGTTGTATCTGAAGAATATATAAAAAAACACAGCCCTTGCTGAAATTGATAAAGTACTACAGAGCAATGGTAGAAGTTTAAATGATTACCCGTTAATGCCTCATATAATGAGTCCATCTTTATTTGATATGCAAAATAGATTAGTGCTTGATAAATTATTGTATGACAGATCTTCATTGGTAGAAGAGCATGCAAGATTAGTGAATTCTCTTACGGATGAGCAGAGAGTAGTTTATAACAAAATTATTTCAGCAATATCATCATGTGCAGGAGGATTTTTTTTTCTTTACAACTTTGGTGGTACAGAACAAACATTTATATGGAATACTCTGTTAGCATATGTTAGATCAAAAGGTGAAATCATTCTTAATGTCGCTTCTAGCGGAATTGCTTCCCTTTTGCTTCTTGGAGGAAGAACAACACATTCTAGATTTCGTATTCCTATTCAAATCTCTGAGGACTCAACATGTAATATAAAGCAAAATTCTATGCTTGCTGAGTTACACTCAAAAACAAAGTTAATCATTTGGGATGAAACTCAAATGGTCACAGATTTTTCTTTGAGGCTCTAGACAAAACACTTAGAGATGTTCTTAGATTTTCTGATGCATGTTGTTTGGATAAGCCATTTGGTGGAAAGGTTATTGTTATGGGAGGTGACTTTCGGCAAATATTACCTGTTATTCCTCATGGCAGCAGGCAAGAGGTAGTGAATGCAATAAAAAATTCTTCCTATCTTTGGTCTCATTGTCAGTTATTAACTTTGACCAAGAATATGCGTCTTAATTCTGGAAGCGGCATGCAAAATTTAATGGAGATAAAAGATTTTTCTGACTGGCTTCTTAAAGTAAAGGATGGTGATCTTGGAGATGATGTTGATGGAGAATCTATGATCGTAATTCCAAATGGATTATTAATTAAAGAATCAGAACATCCACTATCGGATTTGATTGATTTTGTTTACCCAAAACTATTGGATAATTTGTTAGATACCACATTCTTTAAACAACGTGCAATTTTAACCCCTAAATTGGTAGATGTTGGTATGTTAAATGAGCTCTTAATGACTATAATTCCAGGTGAAGAAAAAATAGATAATATTTTGAAGCAGGATAATAATTCTGAACTCGAGGATGTCGAATTCTCTCATGAGATTTTAAATACCTTCTCATGTTCAGGAATTCCTAACCATAAATTAACTCTGAAGGTTAATGTGCCTGTTATGCTATTGAGAAATATTGATCAATCAAGAGGTTTATGCAACGACACAAGATTGCTTATTTCAAGATTAGGCAATCGAGTTGTTGAGGCAAGTGTTCTTACAAGAAGCAACAACCATGCGTTCCTTGTAAATTTCCAAAGAAGCCAATTTTCTCTGGTCGTTTCATTTGCAATGACTATCAATAAAAGTCAAGGATAGTCACTTTCTCATGTTGGTGTTTATATCCCTAAGCCTGTCTTCAGTAATGGGAAATTATATGTTGCACTATCAAGGGTAAAGAGCAAACAGGGATTGAAAATTTTAATACTTGATGATGATGAGAATATTACAAATAGTGCATTTAACATTGTCTACAAGGAAGTATTTTAGAGATTAATTTAGTTGTTTTGGTTCTGTAGAATTGTAGTGAAGTAGATACTTGGTACGTGGTTAAATTATCTCTCGAATGATTACTACTAATTGACTCCTAATTCAAAAAAAAAATTGATACAGTTTTTTTATTATTATATAAGGGTGTTGATATATTTTCTGATTTAAGTATTTATTTTGTCTGGTTATTTCCTTCATATCAAGTAGAAAAGTATAGAAGACTAATATAGAGGAAAAGGTTTATGTTTCTATATTTTTCATAGTTGTTTTTTTTTCAGCGTATTTATTTTTTTCATGTTTTTATTCTTTTTTTGCCTTTGTAGGTGCTGTTCATTGTGCTGCATAGAGTAAGAACCTGCACCGTTAATTAAGGTATTTAATTAATTAATTATGCAAAAATAGGAAATAATTCCATAATTGACCCTAATAATTATTTATGAGGCTTAATAATCATAATAAGTGATTAAGAATGCTGAAAGTCGCTTTTCGGAAGAAAAGTGCAGATACCGGTTCTGCTAGTCGGTATAAATGCGTACCGAAAAAGTATCCCGGAAAATTAATGTAAGTGCATGATAATTACTAGAATAATATGTATGACTTGTAAAACGAGTTTCAAGTCCAAATAATGAGAACTGGTGCTAGAAATCGGTACTGGCTTTGAAAAGCGCGTACCGAAAAAGTGCTCAGAAAATTATAAGAAAAATATGATAAATCTTAGAAAATTATGTAGTTTCATAATTCAAAGTTTGGGATTAAAATGCTAAGCTTAGAAATTAAAGTTAATACTGTGTGTTTAAGTGTGTTTGGGCTATAAATACTCTCATTATGGGCACAAAACCCTAGGATCAGATTTTTATACGTGACTTGGTGGCTGAGTGCACCTTGACACTGTTCCATTGCTGTGTTCTTCTTCCTTGAGAGTCTTGGAGCCATTTCTTCCTTGTTCTTTGTGGTTTCTTCTTCTGAAACACTTGTGTGAGGGAGAGTCACCTTTGCGAAGGGGATTGTGGTGTTGTTTCTGAGTTGTGAAGTCTGTGTGAGGGAGGTTTGATTGCTGACTTGTTGGTTTTGGGTTGAGAGGAGCTTGGTTTTGGTTTTTGGAGGTCCAAGTGGTGACCTTTGTGTTAAAGAACCAACCTTTGTGAAGACATTTTCGTGCATCTTCCTTGAGTCAGACTTGAGGGGCTGTGTTGAGCTCCAAGAGCATCTCCATTCTGAGTCTTGAGCCTTGGTATGTTGTATCAACCTTTAACTTGAGTTTTAAGGCTTAAAAATGGTACCTTGATGCATCTAATGACTAAAAGATGATAACTTGTTGTTGGGTAATGTTGAACACGCCTAGAAATGCATGATTAGATGTTTAAAATCGGTAAAAAAGGAACCTTTAAGGGATATCTTCACGAAAATGCAGAAACTGCATTCTGTCGTGAAATATCCGGATATTTGTCGAACAGATATCCGGATATTGGATATCCAGATATGTGTTTTTTGGATATCCGGATATTGGATATCCGGACATGTGAATCTGTATATCCGGATATTGGATAGTGAGATATCCGGATATTGCATATCCGGATATGGTCCCGAGGAATATCCGGATATTCTGGGATTTCGTGGAACAATAGCTGTGTTGTGTGTACAGTAGGCTATTGGGGGGTTTTTGGACCCTAGTTTGATGAAGTTGAACTTCTGTATTTAAATGGACTAAGCCAGAATCTTGGGATTAAGGGCTTGTGGCTTTGTTAGAAGCTTTAAGACTTGAAAACGTAATGGGAAGACGTTGTCTTTAATTTGTATGCATGTGGTACCTGTTTATTGATTTATGTTTGGTCCATATCAGATTGTGATCTGCTGTGATTGGACTTTGAGCTTGTGGCATTGGATAGCTAGCTTAGAGGTAAGCTTTCGTGTCCTCGGTTTAGCCATGTTGTGGTTCCACCATGTCCCATGGGGATATGGTATATGCATGCTGTGTTACATGCTTTTGATGTTTTGGAAATGCTGTTGAGCTATTATATGTTAGTGCCTTGTTGATATGCATGGTGGTGTTCCACCTATACGGTAAGCCTGAGTATGTAGAACATACAAGAGGGTGAGGCTGTGGGTGAGGTGCAAGCGGTGTTCCTTGTACTACATGTAGGGAATAGACGTATTCTTACATTTCTCTGGCCAGTAGATAGTGATTACACACATGCCATAGATATCTGTTGCACTACATAGTTTTGGAACTGGTAATGATATAAATGCTTTTAGAACTTATATTGCACATGTAAGTGAGCTTGGGGTGGAAGATCCTTGAGGACCCCTTGTCTTACTGAGATTTCTAGTTTAGAGATCTCACCCCACGTTTGGGGAATGCTTATTTCAAGGTCAGGTAATGTTGAGACCTCAGGCGGCAGGAGGCCGGAGCTGAGTTAGATTGTAGTTATATTATGCTACCATGATTGGATGCTGGATTTGCATGCTGTTTACGCTTATAGCTTCAGTTTATGTTTATGGAGTTTTATGTTGAGACTTGTTGTTTACTATGTTTATTTGGTGAGCATGGGGATTGTCCATGACACATAGTATTGTTATGTCTTGAGTCTTGGGGTCGTAATAATGTATCAGGATATTGTCTGGATTACGTGATGTAATGCCGTGATTTAGATACACACTTTATCCATATATTGAGGTATTTCAGTAGATGTCTTATTGCAATTTACATACATACGATATTTTATGAAATTGATTACGTAATCAAGTTGGTAATTGATAATGACGTCATAATTGAAAAGAAAAAGAATATTTCGCATTTTTAATTAAGCACCGCTTAATACGATGTAATGCTAATATTCCGAGTATACACGGGGTGTTACATTTTATGGTATCAGAGAAACGGTTCAAGGGAAAAGCCTGTATGTATTGCAATGGTTAGGATGTTTGGTTGTGTCTGTTTTGTGTGTTTGCTCCGTCGAGTATTATTATGATGATGCATATGTGACCACATTGCGTGGGCCTGATCAACTCATTATTTGTGTAACTTGTGCATAATCATGGTAAGATCGGGGAGAAACCGCGAGACTTCGGAGGATCGGCCCGATCCTGTCCTGGCTACATTAGCTGAGATGCAGGCGACCCGACTAGCCGACCAGGAGGCCATGAGAATGGAAAACCAGACCATGCTGGACGCCGTCAGAGAGGCGAACAGGAAGGCCACTGAGGACGTGTTGGAGGCCAACCGTCTGGCGAACATGACGATGTTTAGAGTCATGTTGGAGGAGATGAGGAATGGCCCTGATGTTGGTCATGCTCCACCGCCACCACCTCCACCGCCACCACCACCACCACCTCCACCCATTCTGCAGGATGACTCTCAGAGTCAGATGGGAGATGGCAGTCATCTTACGGGGGCCATGCAGACCGTCCCTGTTTTTGTTGAGGATCGTGATGAGATCGACCGCTGGCTGAATGCTTTCCGTAAGCATAAGCCACCTGTCTTTGATGGATCCTTTGATCCTGTTGCTGCGGCACGTTGGCTTCAGGCGTTGGACAAGATTTTTCGGGTCATGCAGTGCACAGATCCGCAGAAGTTGATGTTCGCTACTTACATGCTGGAGGGCGATGCCCATGAGTGGTGGACAAACCTTTCTCATGTCTACGAGATGCAGGGTCATGTGATGACTTGGCCTATGTTCGAGGATTTCTTCTTGGGTCAGTGCTTTCCATATGACGCTCAGGAGAGGCAGCAGGGAGAGTTTGACAGATTGGTTCAGGGCTCGTTGTCTGTGGATGAGTATCTGGCCAAGTTCAACCAGTTGGTGAAGTTTGCACACTTCAGGATGGCGAGGCCTACTCCTACATTTCTGGCTGCTAAGTTCCGCAGGGGACTTAGTGAGGATATTGCTGGTTACCTAGCTGGTTCTGCTTCTAGAGACTTTGGGACGCTGGTTCAGCAGTGTCGTGATATTGAAGATTATTACAGCTCGAGTAAGGCCAAGAAGGCCAAGGTTGCTGAGGCGACGAAGGTTGCAGCTGGTAGTTCCACTTCTTGGCGAGACAGGAAGTTTGGGAACAAGGGCAAGGGTAAACAGTTGGCAGCTCAGCAGGCGCCGAGTCAGTTCAAGAGGACTTCTGCTCAGGGGAGTGCAGCGAGACCTCCTGCTCCCAGGTGTTTGGAATGCGGGAAGACTCATTTTGGGCCGTGCTCTACCGGCCAGTTGATTTGCTTTCAGTGTGGCAAGGAGGGCCACTTCTCCAGAGACTGTCCGTCGGCGACGGCGAGGGCTACTGCAGTGCAGGCAGTGCCACTTCAGATGGTTCCCCTTCCACCTACTTCGGCACCGGTAGTGCCACCATCTTCTGGGAGAGTTTATACTCTGGATCGTCAGCAGTCGGATCGAGCTTCGAACCTTGTCAGAGGTACTGTTACGATTGGTTCATCAGCTGTTGATGTGTTGTTTGACTCTGGGGCTACGCATTCTTTTATTGCTACCCCGATTGCTATGGGGCTTGAGTTGCCCAGTGATGTGCTTTCTCCACCGATGCGGGTGACTACCGCCACCGGAGAAAGATGTGATGCTACCACTGTTCATCGCGATGTGGCGTTTCAGTGGGATGGCCGTGAGTTCTCGGTAGATCTGATAGGATTGCCGATGGCCAACTTGGAGGTTATTCTGGGCATGGATTGGCTGTTCAGAAATTGTGTGATGATTGATTGTTGTGCCAAGCGTGTAGTGTTGTCTTCGTGTGATTCCACAACCAGTTCCTCGCCGTACATTTCGTTGCTGCAGGATAGGAGAGCCTTGAGAGCAGGGGCATTTGGTTATGCCATGTTGGGAGGTTTGGTGAGTGGTACACAGGAGGATATCACTGGCATTCCTGTGGTGAGGGAGTTCCTTGAGGTGTTTCCTGAGGAGATTCCTGAGTTTCCGCCACAGAGGGAGATAGAGTTCTCCATAGATCTGTTGCCTGGTGTGGGGCCGATTTCTTTAGCTCCGTACCGGATGTCGCCACCAGAG